ATCTAAAATGGACTCTGGCCAATTCCATTCCCTCATAATCCACTGGGAGAGGAACTAGCATGCTTCAATTTGGTTGACAAAATTGGTAATTTCTCACTAGTTCCTCAATTTAGCCGCTTGAAGTCTCTGGTAGTGGAGGAAACTTACTCCAGACAAAGTTACAAGGAACAAACCTTTTCCCTTCCTAAGGACAATTCTAGTAAATAACACTGTTTCTTTCTTTCTTTGAATATAAGTCACTTTCAGTCCAGCAAATCTTACGAATAATGATGATTTTGACGCCTAGTGTAGAAATTTTGCACATCCAAAGACAATAATGATGATTTTGTGAGTATAAGCGGGGAATATTAAAAAAGTTTTGTATTTTTAAAAATAAATTTGTATCTTTCAAATTTTACTTACTTTTAGTAATTAATCAATTAACAGGGCCGGCCCTGATATTAAAAAACTCTTGAGAGGTCTTAAGCAATCTTTAAATGTGAGGACTTCTATACATAAGTTTCACAGGCACAAAAAAAAAAAAAAAAATTACAACAAATTCATTGAGTTCACATTATTTTTATTTCTCTGTTATATTATTACTTTTCTAAAACAATTATAGTATTTTTTTTAATTATTAAACTTCAACGTCTCGAGAAATTTGACAGTTGACCTAAAAGATTTTTATTCTTTTTTTCTTTTTTTGATGGCCCTCAATTTTTTTTTTCTTTATACATTATAACTTACCTAAATATTTTATTTTCTTATATCAATAAGCCTTAAAAAATACAAAATTTAATAATGTGCGCAAAATATTTCTATCCTAGTATTATCTTCTTCTTCTTTTTTTCTTTTTTCTTTTTTCTTTTCTCGCTCCCTCTCTCTCTCATCCTCGTTACATCAGCATATATACATATTCACACATTAAAATTAAATATTGTATTGAGCCACCCTATGTGTGTATATATATATATATAAATTGGATCTAAATAATTGTAAGTTTTTTTTTTTTATCAAAATGAAGCAAAATGGCTATATAAAATGGTTAAAGGAGGCAGATTCTCCAAAGGAGAGAGAACTTGAATAATGGCAAGGAGGCAAATTCTCCAAAGGAGAGAGAACTTGAATGGAGGAAGCGAAGTTTTCCTGCAATTCAAGATTCAAATAATTAATAATACATATTTAGTGTGTGTCTATATATGTGTGTGTGTGTTAGAAAAAGTAATGGGATGGGTGAGAGAGAGAGAGCCATGTGGAAAAAGAAGGCAAAGGGCAAGAAAGGCGATGAAGACTTGGTAGCTGAGGCCTCTAGAAGTGGCTGCTTTGAAGAGTGTGCTTAGGTGATCATGGTGATGATGATAGATTGATCATTGATCTAGATGCGAATCATGCGATGCGAGTTACAAACCTGAACTGCAATTTGCGAACTGGAAGTCTGGATTCTGAAATAGACTAGAGAGAGAGAGAGAGGAACAGAAGAGTGAAGACGATGATGATGTGATGTTTTCAATTTTCAACTTTTGATTTTTGAGGAATAAAAACTTTTGATTGTTGCAGTTGTAGTCTTGCAGAGCAGAGAGAGAGGGGGTAACCGGGTAAGCATGAGAGTTGAGAGTCTGTTAAGATTCTTGAGAATGAGAGTTACGATAATGAAGATTGGGAGCATTTGCCCTTTTTTTTTTTTTTTTTTTTTTTTTTTTTTTTTTTTTGTGGCCCTTCATTCATGGGCCTATAAATTTTGAGGCCCTTAAAAGATTTGTTGCATCTGGTTACAAATTATTTTTTTTTGGTGGCCCATCATGCATTTTGAGGCCCCTTAAAATCTGAAGCCCTAGGCGACCGCCTTGGTCACCTTGGGCCAGGGCCGGCCCTGTCAATTAATCACGTGCAAGATAAAATAAAGCAAAATAATAAAAGTAGAGATGACACCAGCATTTTTAGCTAAAAAAACCCTAATTGAAAAAATAAACTAATTATTTGAGCGAAAAAAAACCTCGTGGACTGTATAGTCCAAAGTAAACTGTTCCACTATATTTGAAACAAAGTACACTGAACTGTCGTTCTACCAAACACCAATCATTGACCATTCTATCAAATACCAATTGCTGACAATCCTCTGGCTTTAGAACGTTCCGTCCAACAGCACTTGACCTCTGGCTTACTCTTGATCTCTATAAAAGGATTGCTGGTAGATCAAACAACACTCATCGAATGTTTTGATCCTTTCAAAGAGTGATCGCTTTTGCTCCTGTTCTTCAATATCTAAATTCGATGTAGAAGTAGTTCTGTTTTTCTCTGATCGTTGTATATGCAAGACTTTGATCACGACCAGGATTTGAACAATACTCTAAACTCACTCTTATATTTTATGTGTGTGTTCTAAAAAGAATGATAGAAAAATCAACTTTGATTTTCTGCAAAAATATCTCTCCAAGGCTTTTATAAATTTGAAGTTGTATTGTAAAAGTCGTACAAACCTAGATGAAAAATCAAGGTTTAAATAGAATATTTAAAGACCTTATCATGCATAATAAAAGAAATATCGTGTATAAGACTTTTGGTAGTATTCTAAATCAACTAGGAAGTTTGAAAAAGAACATGACAAAGTTACCTTAAACTGTATCCGCAGTGGTACCGATAGCCATATGTGGAACCAGTTCCCAAAGGACAGAATGCTTTTCTTCGAAGCTATGGTTCTTGAACCAGTTCCCAAATGTGATACCCGTCCTACTTGCCAGAAACCTAAAGAAGGGTTGGAAAACTTGGAAAGAATTCTGTTTTGGTAACTTGAAGAATATACCATGTAGTTATAGTGTCCTAAGTGGGAAACAACTTCCTTAAAATGTTGTTTTTTCCTTTCTCGATGATCTTAGTATATCATTTTTGGATAACCTTCTAATTCCGCAGTCGATCTCGATCTTGATATAGTAACTTGAAATTACAACTCGATCAGACTTGACATCGAAATTTGTCAATTATAAAAATTATATCTCACAATCTCACCCTTAGGCAATTTCGTGACAAAACCATAAAAATAATATGTAATCTACCCAAACAACACGAAATTTTTCTTCTCCGTTCTCTTCTTCTCTTGGACAAAATTTTATCTAATTACCTGCACATGAATCAAGCACAACTACCGGTGAACGTTTAATAAAACAATTTATAAAAACTCCCCTGAAAAAAGTATCCAATTTTTCTCCCCCCTTAATGAGCCATTGTTCTCCCCCTTTTTAGAACAAATTGACAAAGCAATTAAGCCTTCTGGGACTGAGTTGGTCTCTAATATCATTAGGTACCTGATAATCTCTCTCTCTCTCTCACCTCTGAACATTTCTATAGTAAAGACAATTAAGAACATTGTATTATTTCGATAAAAGTCTCAAACTGGAATTGGCACAATATTGCGAAATGGCAGCCTTTGTTCAATTTGGGTGAGATTGAATGCTTGCTTTCATTTCGTAATGGCTATGCTATGGTGAGTGGTATTTTTGGTTACTTAATCAATTTTAATTTTGTTTCCTAGATTTGGTTTCTGTTACTGCCCATCCATCAAACTTTGGTGCACTTGATTGGTTGAAGATGTGAGGTTTGGGTGCTGCCTGTCGACTCTGTGTTGGTGTCATTTGACTTTTCTTTTATCAAATTTGATGCAACTGTTGCATCAAATTGGATAATGCTGATCTTTTAATTATTATTTGTACATGTTTGGATTGAGGCTTGAGGTCTGATTGTGGAGGAAGCTTACTTCAGACGAAGTAAGTTACCGGGAACAAACCTTTTCCCTTCCAGGGTTATTCTAGTAAATAACACTGTTGCTTTAACATCACTTTCAGTCCACTGGATTTTACCACATCAACGTTCAAAACAATAATGATGTAAGTGGAACCCATTCTTCTTTTGACGCCTAGTGTAGAAATTTTGCACCCACTTTAGACTAAGCTTTTTTCCAATCTCACAAGCATCTTCTCTCTCTCTCTCTCTCCTCTGAAAAATATCTTTGGCTTATGAAATTTTACTGTTTGGAGTTTTGAGATTTAATCAATTCTATTGAAAATTTATATGAAATTCGTATGTAATTTTTCAAAATTTAAAAACTGGGCAACAATTTTTTTTCTTCAATAAGCAGGCACTATATGTAACTTCTTTCTTTTTTTTGGCTCCACCTGAGTATAAACTTTGTGCACTTGACAAATATAGTTTTCACTCTTACGTGTTCACTCTTATTTTTATGATATTAAAATATAACTTTTAATATGATTCAAATTTTCAAGATTTTTTTGATACTCATAATAATTAGCATTATGCCTCTAACTGCAAAAGGATACGTGATTTTTCACATATTCTCCGTGACCTAAAGTAAGAGTGAACTATACTATGCTACTAGTTGTCAAACCTTTTACTTTCTTAAGGGCTATTTTAGTAAATAACACTCTTCCTTTCTTTCTTTGAATGCAACATCATCACTTTCGGTCCAACGAATCTTATCACGTCCACATGCATTATTGAAGTTTTTCTTTAATTTCAAAATTTCTACAAGCATTATCGATGATAATTGAGAAAAAAAAAAATTTGATTTCATAATTTTCACACGCTTTACTCAAGATAATTGAATTTTTTTTTTAATTTCAGAATTTAAAATTAATAAAGTTTATGAGAAAAAAAATAAAATAAAATGAAATGAGAGGATAAAAACAGATTTAAAATTAAAAATGATAATCTTTTGCCCTTCTTTTCATTTCAATTTATTTATTTATTTATTTTTAAAGGATAACAAATAATTTATCAAGTTTTAAATATATTTCTTCAAATATTTTTATTAATAACTTCACATGCAAGATGCACTTTGGCTACATTTGAGGCTTGATGTCTGATTGTGAAGGAAGATTAAGGAAGTTACAAGGAACAACCCTTTTTCCTTCTTCAGGGCTATTCTGGTAAATAACAATGTTCTCTTGATTCTTTGAATGTAGTGTAACATATCACTTTCAGTCCAGCTAATCTTTCCACATCCACGTTCAAAACATTAATGATGATGATAAGGGGAACCCATTCTTCTTTTGACGCCTAATGTATAAAATAATCTGTTTTTCAACCAACATGACAAATATATCACCGTTGTTTTGTCCAATTACAAAGTGAAAATCCGATCAAAATCGGCTCACTTATTTATTATCATTGTTTTGATTAAATTTATTTGTTTAGATTTTTTTTATCATTAGGTTCTCATCATTTTCATTTCTATCCCACTGAAACTCAAACACATTTGAAATGCATCCTTTATGGCTACCTGGTCTCATCACACACATGAAGAACAAGAAAAAGCTAGCTAAGAGGAAGAGAGATAGGGGGGTCATGAAGGTTGTGTTCAAGAATAAGAAGAAGAAGGAGACCAGGGACACTTCTTCATTACCATCTTCCAACACTTACTTGGGAGATTATAGCAACTCAAACATAACGGCAACTCATCACTGCATAAGCCTCTCCTCTCGCACATTTGAAATGGATACACAGAATAAGAAGAGGAAGATTACCAAGAACACTTCATTACCACCTTCCAACACTTGTTCATCGTCCACCTCTCCACCTGCTGCTGCAGGATGTGATTATGAAGTCTTCTTGAGTTTCAGAGGTTCAGACACCCGTGATAACTTCACTGACACCCTCTACCACGGCCTTGTGGACGCTGGAATTCGCACTTTTCGAGACAACGAGGAGCTTCATGCTGGAGAGAAGATAGCTGAGCTTTTCAAGGCAATACAGCACTCCAAGATATCCATCCCCGTCTTTTCCAAAGCCTATGCTTCAAGTAAGTGGTGCCTAAAAGAGATCGCCAAGATGGTCGAGTGTCGGAGGACTTTCGGGCAATTGATATTACCCATTTTCTTTGGTGTCAAAACGTCCGATCTGAAATACCAGACGGGGAGTTACGGAGAGGCCTTCCAGAAACACGAAGAGAACTGGAAGGAGGCATTGAAGGAGGCTGAAAATTTGAAGGAACAGGAAGTGAAGAAAGTTGCTGATGTCGATCCGTCCGATGTGCGACACCAGAAGGGGAGTTACGAAGAGGCCTTCCAGAAACAGAAAGAGATGAAAGAAAGCCTTGAGGGATGGAAGAAAGCCTTGAGGGAGGTTGGAGAATTGAAGGGATGGAGTGTGAAGGATAGGTAAAATATTTTTGTATATTTTGGCATTTGGTTGTTTTTACGAAGAAAAAAAAAATTACAATCTAACATAAATAACTTACCATGAAGGCAAATTATTTTACAAGTTCCACCCGAACTTGAACCTTGATCGACAACTTTGCAAAATACTGAAAAAGCAAAAGTAAGGAAAATATTTTACCCGAAAAAAAAAAAAAAAAAATTACATCCAAACAAACAGAGCCTTAGATTTGCCTTAGTAGTACCAAACCAACTATGAACTTGTTTAGTTCAGTTCTCTCAAATTAGACACTAATTTAACTTAGTTTACAAACAATAGATTTTTCACAAATTGTTATCAAATGAATTTTGAAGCTACTTTCTATTTTTCAGTTTTGTGGGAATAGACAACTACTACTGTTGAAAATTTAAATCTAAGTAGGCGATCTATATTTGTGGGTTTTTCCATATATATATATATGTATATATTTGACATTAATTATGTTTGGCAGTACTCCTCAAGGAGAACTGGTAAAGAAGGTTGTTTCAACGGTATGGGGAGAGCTGAAAAGGAATTACTCATTGGTTGTAAATGATTGTTTAGTTGGAATTGATGATCATGTAGAAGAAATGATGAAATTGTTGAGTGTTAATTCCGATGATGTAAGGGTTGTGGGAATCCATGGCATGGGAGGAATCGGCAAGACCACTATTGCCAAGTTCATCTACAACCAACTCTCCCAACATTTTCAACCCCATTGCTGCTTCCTTGAAGATGTTAGAGCAACAGCACAACAACAGAATGGTCTTGTTCATTTGCAAAAGCAACTTATATCTGACATCTTAAAACTGAGAAGTCCTAACTTAATTAGAAATAAGGATGAGGGAATTAATGCAATCAGAGATAGATTTTCTGGGAAGAAAGTTCTTGTTGTCGTTGATGATGCCGATCACAGAGATCAGCTTCATGCACTTGCATTTGTGGGAAAGTGTGATTGGTTTGGTTTGGGAAGTAGGATAATTGTTACAACTAGAAACAAAGAGATCCTAAATCTACCTGAGGTAGATTGTAGAACTTATGAACCAAAGGAATTGGATTCTGCTCGATCTCTTCTACTTTTCAGCAGGCATGCTTTTAGAAAGGACCATCCCCCAGAAGGCTATGTTAATCTCTCTAAAGATGTTGTGTCCACTACTGAAGGGTTGCCTTTGGCTCTTGAGATTATTGGTTCTTTTTTATCTGGCAAGGGAAAAGAGGTATGGGAAGGTACATTAAAGAAGTTGGAAGTAATACCGAATAAAGACGTGCAGGACAAGCTGAAAATAAGTTACACTGCATTAGAATATGATCAACAACTTATATTTCTCGATATTGCATGTTTCTTAATTGGAGTGGATAGAAGAATTGCTTTCCACATGTGGGATGACTGCAAATTTTATCCAGAAAATGGGATTGAAGTTCTTATTAACATGTCCTTGGTAAAAATTGGAGATAATAATGAGCTAAGGATGCATGACCAGCTTAGAGACCTTGGTAGAGATATTGTTCGTCAAGAAAATTTTGAAGAGCCGGAGAAGCGTAGTAGGGTGTGGTTTCATGAGGAAGCCATCGACGTCTTGGAGAGGCATACAGTGAGTTCTTATTAACATGTCACTGTTACGCATTAATTTTCTTGTCACCTTACTAACACAATTAATTATGAGCTATGAACTATTCAAAAGCAGGCCTTTATGCATTCTCTTTATACTTGGCCCATTTTAGGATTTTTTAATGTCAAGAATCTCCGGCAATTTCTCCTCTCACACGTTTTCAGTTATATCTATCAACCCCTCCTTTCCATATTCTTCTAAACTCGTCATGTTTTTTATATGATCAAGCAGATTAATTAATTATCTTAATGTTTAATTTCTAGGTGAGAAAATCTTGCATTTTTATAATTAAAACACTTTCAATAAATCTTGCATAAGGTCGGTTCTATTGTTCTTTAATTTACCTTTTTTCTTTTTAATCTATAAATACGTTTTATTTAAAAATGTGAATTAGGATTAGTAAAAATTTCCAAAAGGAAAAAAGAAGGGGTTGGTTAAGTTAATTCCATTTTTGTTTTTTATTTATTTAAAAAAGAAGCTCTTGTAATGATAAACAAAATATTACCCAAAAAAAAAAAAAAAAAAAATTTAGTAAATAAATAACCAAGATTTTTAACAAAAATTTGTAATTTTGCATCTCAATAAGCAAGAACAATATTTTATTTATATATATATATATATATATATATATATATATAGAAAGTTAATTAATATTAATTATATTACTACATGAATATTCTCTTGTATTGCCTTAGCCTCAGCTTATATGAGCCACCCCTGCCCAAACCATTGGTTTCAAGGACATTAATTATTGAACATCCTGATATAGGTTTCATCTCATTATTAATGTTAAATTTCATTCCCCCTAATTATCACTTTATGGTAGATTACCTCTCAAATTCTCACCTTTTGCATATCATTCCCCCTAATTATCAACTTATCTAAATGTTCTCATTTGGCAGGGAACAACAAAGGTTAAAGCTATCTGTCTTAACTTAAAATCAGAGTCACAGGTTGAAGCTCTGTGTCTTACAAATGAAGAATTTGCAAACCTATCTAATCTAAGGTTCCTTCAAATGGACTTCGCAAAGCTGGATGGAGATTTTAAGGGTCTTCTTTTAAATTTGAGATGGCTTTGCTGGAAAGGATGCCCTGAAATCTTTAGCCCAACCAATTTTCATCTAAAGAATCTGGTCATTCTTGATTTATCACAGAGCAAGGTCACAGAAGACTGGGAGGGTTGGAATTATATCAAGGTTTCATCAATTTCTCTGCTTTTGTTTCGTGTATCTTATCACATAATTCTCTGTAATTGATTCTAAGCAATTCTCTTTTTCCTTATTTTGCAGATTGCAAAAAAGTTGAAAGTTCTAAATCTCACAGGTTGCATAAACATGGTTAGGACTCCTGACTTCTCTTCATTTGCAACTTTAGAAAGATTGATTCTTGAAGACTGTAAGAGTTTGGTTGATATTCACCCATCAATTGGGCATCTCAAGAGTCTAGTTTTCTTAAATTTGAAGAATTGTGCTAAACTCAGCAGGTTGCCTCTGGAATTTGATAAAGTGGAAGCTTTAACAGAGCTCCTAATCGATGCTACTTCAATGGAAGAAGTACCTATTGGTAGAGGTGTTATGAAGAAGCTTGAAACTCTCAGTGCCACTCGTAGTTATTCATTGACTCAAATTTCGACCTCAATCGGTCACCTAACATCTTTGTTGGACCTTAGATTTGGTCGTTCATTTGGTATCACTAAACTACCAGACTCGATTGGTTCGCTAGTGAAATTGCGACGCTTGTCACTATGGGAATGCAAATTAAAAGAGCTTCCAGACTCCATTGGGAAATTAGAATCATTAATTGAGCTGGACTTGTCAAATACATGCATTACAGAATTGCCAGATACTATTGGCAACCTAAATCTTTTGAGAATTCTTAAGATAGAATCTTGTTTGATAGTGAAGTTACCTAGTACCATCGGAATGTTACTGAAACTTGAAGAGTTACATGCCTCGTATTGTTCCAGTTTGGAAGGCGAAATTCCCAGTAATTTTGGGGGACTATCCTCTCTGAGAAACTTAAGATTAAATTCAACACATATCTGTGGTCTACCAACAAGCATTTGTGGGCTTTCTCACCTCCAAACCCTTGATTTACGGTATTGCAAAAATCTTGAGTTTGTCCCAGACCTTCCCTCTAGTCTAGTGAGTCTAAAAGTCTCTTGCAGTTCAATGGAGACATTTCTAAACCTTCCTAGCCTGGTGAACCTAAAGGAGTTGGAAATTATTAAATGCTATAAGCTGTTGAAAATTTCTGAAGGTATTGGTGCCCTTTCTAGGCTTACTTTTCTCAATGTATATTATTGTGAACAACTTCAATGCCTTCCAGCTCTTCCCTCAAGTCTTACATCTCTCAATGTAGATAATTGTGAACAACTTCAATGCCTTCCAACTCTTCCCTCAAGTCTAAACTCACTATATGTTAGAGATTGTAAGTCAATGAAGAGGTTGCCAGTTCTGTCAAATTTGAAAAACTTATCAAGTCTAAAAGTTTTAGAGTGTTCAGAATTAAGGAAGATACCTTGCCTTGGAAGATTAAAACTCCTACTAGAATTATATTTAGATGGGTGTGAATCACTAGAAAAATTACCTGATCTTTCCAACTTAAAGAAGGTAAGGAATTTAAGTATTGCAGATTGCAGGAATCTGAATGAAATTACGGGCCTTGATAGATTAGAATCCTTGGAAGTTTTGACTATGAGTAGTTGCACATCCTTGGAAAGATTGCCTGATCTATCCAAATTGGAAAAGCTGGAACGATTAAATCTCCATCATTGCGAGAAGATACATGAGATTGAGGGTCTTGAGGATTTGAAATCCTTGAAGAAGCTGGATTTGTCACGGTGCACAGCCTTGGAGAAGGCACCTGATCTGTCAAGAATAACAAATTTAGAGGAATTGAAACTTTGGGAGTGTGATAAACTTGGTGAGATTTGTGGACTGGAGGAACTCAAACTCCTAACAGAGTTGGACTTGTCATCCTGCACGGCCTTGGAGAGGATACCTGATTTGTCCAAACTAACAAAGTTAAGTTCATTACGTCTTTGTAACTGTGAGAAACTTTCTGAGATTTGGGGACTTGAGGAACTGAAACTCCTAGAATTGTTGGACTTGTCATCCTGCACGGGCTTGGAGAGGACACCTGGTCTGTCGAGACTAACAAATTTAAAGGCATTGAGACTTTGTAAGTGTGAGAAACTTGTTGAGACCTTGAGACTTGAAGAACTGAAACTCCTAAGAGAGTTAGACTTGTCATCCTGCACTGCCTTGGAGAGGACACCTGATCTGTCCAGACTAACAAATTTAGAGCTATTGTGCCTTCGTAACTGTGAGAAACTTGGTGAGATTTGGGGACTTGAGAAACTTGGTGAGATTTGGGGACTTGAACGGCCAAGATTCTTGGACATTTCTGGATGCAAGTCACTAGGAAAATTACCAGACCTTCCAAACTTATATCTTGTACGTTAATTAAGTGTGGAGAGCACGCAAGTCACTAAGAAAATTGCAGGATGTCATGGTAATTATCTATTTTCTGCTAATCTATTTTATCTTCCTATGATGGTTTTTTCCCCCTTAATTGATTGTGACTGGGATTGTTTCTCTGTTCTCTCTTTGTGTGTTTTCTTCTGTTAGGGTATGGTCACTCTCTTTCTCTCCTCCCTATCATTTCACCGTTCTCAAGAACTCTTCCACTTCGAGGTGATTTCGAGACTATGGCTCAGTTTGAAGCGCGAATGGAGTCATGGAGACATTGCTCTATAATTCTTGTGGATTTTTGGGCTCGCAATTGAAGCTCCAAATTCACACATGCATGTCAAAAGAATGAATGAATGATCAATTTCATAATCTCTTCAACTTCGAGAGGCCATTAATCTGTTAGGGCTCCATTTCATGCATTCAATCAATCTCTGAACATAGGGAGACCATCTTCGCTCGAGGTATTCTAATACCTTTGCAACACAACGATGAATTGATTGTTTTGATATTTTAGTTGGTTTATTGGTTAGGGTTTGAGGTCATGTATTAAAGAACAATCTTCAAAGCTTTAAAGGAATCAAGAGGTTTTCGTAAGATGTTTTCTTTATTAAAATTGTTTGGATACAGAATTTTTGGCTCATATTAAAGTCAAAAAAATTTCTCATTTTACTTATCAACTGCTAATGTGCAGAAAATTTGATATTTATCAATTTTAGATATATGTTAATAATGGTTATATATACCCAACAAGTCCTCAATTTTGGTTTGAGAGCTGGGAAGGACCAATGCTTCAATTTCTGCTTTTATGGAAAAAACACACTCTGTAGTAAGGTCTAATGTCTTCATAAATACTAGGAGATTCATGGTACAACTTAATTAAATCATATTGTTCTGTTAGAACTCCTCCACTTCGAGATGATTTCGAGACTAATGCTCAGTTTGAAGTGAAAGGAGACATCGTTTCATAATTCCTATGGATGTTAGGGTTCAATTTCGCCACCGAAGTTCCGATTTCACAAAAATTCATGTCAAAAGAATGAAAGATTAAAAATTTCATAATCTCTAGAACTTCAGGACGCCATGATTTGTTTGTTAGGGCTCAATTTCATGCATTCAATCAATCTATGAACTTAGAGAGACAATCTTTGCTTGAGGTAATCTAATATACCTTGCAAGGTGAATTGATTATTTTGAGATATAAGTTAGTAGTTTCTTAGTTAGGATTTGTGGTCATGTGGAGGACTTTGTGGTTGGCCATTTGTGTATTTTTTATATCTTCTCATAATATTTCTGTAAGATTCATGATGGCAGGAATTTTGAATATTCAAATTATTTTCTAAAAGAATTTGAAAATAACAATTTCAAAATATTTCCTTAAGCTTTGTATGATTTCTGGTGCAGGGAACAGGTGAGAGACGGTTCCTACCACTCATATTAAAGCTGAATTTTTTTCCACCTAGGTATTTTGCTTGCCCTATCAAATGCTAATGTGCAGAAAATTTGATATTTAAGATGCTTGAATATTTTTATATTATAATGGTTATATATTCTACTCAATTTTAGATATATATTAATAATGGTTAGATATATACCCAACCAGTCCTCAATTCTGGTTTGAGAGCTGGGAAGGACCAATGCTTCAATTTCTCCTTCTATGTAAAAAAAAGAGACACACACACTATGATAAAGGTCTGATGTCATCGTATAGACTTTTAATATGGTATGGAGGGAGTAGGAGATTCTGGTACAACTTAATTAAATCATATTGTTTGAACCATCTTATAATGTTTTTCTTGTCAAATTCCAATTTCCAGGTGTTAATTCTATTTTTTTTTTTTGAAAATGCCGGTACAGTTCTGTCATTGCATCATTTTGATTATTGTTCATTGTAGGAACAACCTTTTTCCCTTTCCGCGGGCTATTTTGGTAAACACTGTTTGTTTTTAAATTATTATTATTATTTATTTTTTATTTTGCGACAATGATGATGAATGAAAAACAATACAAGAAAATTTTAAGATAAGCATGTGTTTGCTTTGCAGACTATGACACCTTCATATAAATTGAAAATTTTGTTCCAAGAAGTTTATTTTTTTTTGATAAATAGTAATATTAATATGTAACCTCTTCCTCTACCCAAAAACGAATTATTATATCTTCAAATGAGTTGGTAAAGTTTTACAAAACCAATCAACAAGTCCATCCGTACGAAAGTGCTTCTGTAAAATACAATAAGATTCAGCTTGACTTATCACCATTGACGCTCTGCTGTCAGCTGAAGCACTGTGAACCTTCAAGCTTGGAGATTGGATACTGAGAATGAAGTCTATAAAATGAATGAAATAGTTAACAGAAACCAGAGGAGACACTCCATTCACTCGAGCTCTTGGAGATCAGAAAAAAAGAGGAGATTCAGTTGTTGCTCCGTGTACAGCAGATTAAGGCAGTTTCCCCCTATTCAGCTGACTATGACACTTTCATGATGGTAATTCTTTTTTTTTTTATATAGGTGACACTTACATATAAGCACTTCACCTTTCTTATATCCAGGCGGATCGCCAATGTGATAGTCTGTCAGTGTCGCTCGCACCCCCTTGGAGCCCGACATCCCCGTCGGCACACTTCCGGTTGGGTCAGGCTCTGATACCATTTGTAACGACCCACTCCACCACATGGTATGATATTGTCCGCTTTGGGCCTGAACCCGCACGGTTTTGCTCTTGGGCTTCACCCCAAAAGGCCTCATACCAATTGGAGATGACACACTTACATTTAAGCACTCTACCTTTCCTCTACCCAGGCGATGTGGGACTATGCATCCGTAGCTCGCCAGTGTAGTAGCTTGACAGTGTCTATCGCACCCGCTCACGACACACCCGCCCACAGGATCATTATAATTATTTCTCAAACTTTGGACACAAACACGATGATCTTAATATTTTTTCTATACCTACTGGTCTCCGCAACTTTTAATGGTTACTTTCATTTGAAAAATGTTACATAAAGAGTATCATTCATCATGCACATAGCTTCATACGCAAAATGCATTAAAATGTTATATGTCATTTATTACTTGAAATTTGTAATTAAGTTTACAAAAACACCTTAAACATGGACAACTATTTTTTACCTTTGTTATTATTAATCAAATTATTACTTTTACTCTCATAGTTGTAATCTTGCTAACCAATTTTTTAGCTTTGTATATTATTAATAAATTTTTCTATTTCCTTTTGGATTAGTTACTCCCAGTTTAGGTTAAAAGGTAAATTACTAATGTAGTCCGGGAATCAAAATAACTTTAACCCGGTATTATGTATAAAACAAATCACTAAAATATAAGGAATGAAGGAGAAATTATTAAATCTCTAAATCTATTGTTTCATAACGAATTTTACAATCGTTAAAACTCGATTGGCATGTTCAATTATGATACAAAAAAACAACACAATTTTTTTATTTTTTATTTATTCAATTACAGTAATAATAACATATCAGTAGAAAGTTCTTGCAGTGTAGGTTGGATTATATATATATATAAGCTCAGATTATGCATACAATATATATGTACTTTGCTCAAAATGTTGTTGAATTATGCAATGTAGTCAAGCAAAATAGTTTTTAAATCTTGTTCTAATAGCTCAACATGGAAGGAAAATGGGCTACTCCAGTTTCAAATCTTATCAAGGGGCAATTCTCGTTTTCTCCATTTTTAAAAATTTACTATGAAAATGAAGCTACAACTTAGATAATCACAGGTATTGAGGTGTATAAATTAGATTAATTTGGTAGTTCAGAAAAAATAATAATAAGAAAAGTCAATTAATCAGTGTGATCTTTATTAAATCTAAAGTGATGAGAAAAAGAAATTAGTATACAAATTTAGAGCATCTTCATAATACTTCTTTGTGTAAAAGATACACTATTACGTAAGATGTGTAAGTGTTTTTTTTACTTGCATAGATTCAAATTAGTTTAAATAATGGTTCAAAAAAGAAGGCTATAGATAAGATGGTTACATAATTATTTATTTATTTTGCAAAGTTGTCATAATTAATGGGACATCCAAACCTTGTAGCGTAAGGGCATTTCATCCCTTCTATTCCCATCGCTATACTTGATAAGTATATACCAATTTAATATTTTTTAAGCATATTTAACAGATTTGTTTGCACTAAAATTTTGCCTCAATTATTATGAAAGGATTTCAATTTTTTTTTTTTTAACAAAAATTAAAATGTTTTGTTAATATAAATCTTAGATAAATAAAATAAAATAAAATTATTAGGGCTTGTTCATTAAACCGTAAAATTGATGATCTTCAGTTAATCTCAGCAGTCGCCATGTCAATGATCTAACAGGTCAGATTCATCAGAGCTACCTTGCTGCGTTATGAACCTTCCTCTGTTTCTCACTACTTCAACCCCAAACCAAACCAATTCATAAATTCTTTCTTAATTTTGCTCCCTTTCTCTCTCCTTCTATATAAGTAAAGCTTACGGGTTAATTGAAAGTTAGAGCATTTTTAAACAATGATAAGTTGATAACCCCGGTCAAATTTTGGAAACAAAGTCTAATAGTTGGTGAAATGTCTAATTCACTTTTTAATAACTTATTCATTGTTACTATAAAATATTAGAATAATTAAATGACCGAAATGTTCTTATGCAATATAATGTTTGTTTTTTACTTTTAATTTTGGGCTCACTTTGATAAAGTTAATAAAAACACCCAATAGTAAGTTGCAAAATCTGATACATAGTAAAATAATTTTAATACCCTTTAACTTATTAGTTAATCTACTTAAATAATAAAATTATATTTTTAACCTTCACACCCATCATTCCACAATCACCCACCACCACCACCACTCCACAACCCTACCACACCTACCACCAACACTTCACAGCCCATATTAAGATTGAATGAACACACACACACATATATTTTAATATATACTATAACATTAAAAATCATGTAATTGAATTAAGGAATTGAAAGAAGAAGAAGAAATGGTCCAAATTCGGTATGTGTGGCCTACATATAATCCCATGGTCATGTGGGGTCCACTTTGACCCCATAATTATATATTTTGCCCCTTATACGCATACACACACCAAACATGATACAATTGGGTAAATAACCACATAATCACATAAACACTTCTAAATAATTATATATGAAATGTAATGATCTCGAAAACTAATCCCAAGAACGAAAAAATTCGGGTGCTGAACCCACCTGGGACCTCCTGGCCTGAAAATCCGAAAAACGCCTAAATAGCTCAAAAGTTCTAAACTCAAAGAAATATCCTGAATCACTCTCGGAATTTTTGTGACACGCTAGCAGGTATGTGGCACGCAAAATGAGGTGCACAAATAAATAAATCCAAAAATTCAAAAAATGCCCAAAAAATGAAAATTTGAGAAACGTCACACTATAGGTTTGTTATGCTGCTTTGATTAGAGAAAAAATTCATAATCAAACCATGTATAGAGAAATAATACTTTGATTATAGACCAAAAAAAAAAAAATTAAAACATTTGTATAGTATAATAACCCTATATTTTAAAGGTTTATTTTATTTAAATTGTTTGCATTATTTGAAATTATTTCATTATTTATTTTATTTGATTTAAATTTCTTAATTTTTACTACGATTATTTGTTTGTTTAATTGTCTAATTAAATTGTTATAGTAGGTTAATTTAAATGATTTGTGTATTTTTACATGTGTTTAATTACTTGACGTAATACCCCTCGATTTCGAAACACGGATTGATCAGGTCCATGCATGAGACCAAGGGCGATATCAAACAATTAATATTTTAAATAGAACACAGAATACAAAAAAATAAATAAATAAAGAAATAATAACACTAAAAGGAAAAACTAATAAATGAATAAATAAATCATATCCATTAAAATCCATGGTGCGTCGTCGGACCAAAGCCTAAAAATGTACTAAGAATGTGAATGTGCAATGTGGTCAAGTTTTAAATTTATAAATGCCGCTACTACCTCTAACTAAAAATATAACTAGGGTGAGTAAGGATCGTCCCAAGGGATTATGGGCGTGTTTGTAATGGAAACAATATATAGGGTTAGTAGGTCAAGTGATCAAATGATGGTTTGTTTGGTTGATTAAATTACAATGCAATTGAAATTAAAGCAAGTAAAATGTAACAATTTAAAAAGTAGGGAAAAAGATATAGAGGAGAGGATTTGGGGTACTAGAGCTCACCACTAAGCTTGACTTCACTAGACACTTGCAATTGTATATTAATGGGGAAATTGAATTGTAACTTGTGTGTGTATGTGTGACATTAGTTGAAACTAGGCATGGATGGCAAATAAATATAGATTGTCTAGCTAATTCAAATGGAAAGCACAACCTATCAAATGAGACCAAAATCCATTCAATAAAACTACAATTTATGCACACATAACTATCTAGAAACATACACCCTTTGCATTCATAAGTATGGAACACCAAGAAGCAAGAATAGATTGTCCACCTATCTATGAATCTAAAGCAACTACACTACATCTACACTAAAGACATAGAAATTAAACAAAATAAGCTAAAGGTGTGGCACAATCCATCAAGAAACAAATGTGAACCATCAAATAAATTACAAGAGTGTTCAATTAAGCACTATGTTTTGATTATCACTAGATTAACTTCACAGATACACATAGACATGCATAAATTCCATTAAATCTAGAGAAAAGCACATGAATCAGTCATTCTAGTATACATAAACATATGATTAGA